TCCTCCTCCTCTTCTTCTTCTTCTTCTTCTTCTTCTTCTTCTTCTTCTTCTTCTTCTTCTTCTTCTTCTTCTTCTTCTTCTTCTTCTTCTTCTTCTTTTTGTAGTGTTGGTGATGAACCCAGGGTCTTTAACTAAGATACATCCCCAGCTATGCTTTGTTTTTATGTTTCTTTGTTCTTTTTTTTTTTTTTTGAAACAGGACCTGGCTAAGTCACTAAGTTTCCCAGGCTGGGCTTGAACTTGCCATCCCCCTATCAGAGTGCTGGGGTTATAGAAAGGTACCATCATGCCTAGCATATCTTCATTTTTAGTGCTTAATAGTCAAAATCATTGTCTTCCTGAAAGACTAGAAAATAAGTGGAACTAAACTTTGCAGAATATTTTGAGAAAAATGAAATAAATTTCGAAGAATATATAAAATTAAAGTTATCTCTATTATTCTGCTAAAATTCATTTATTAACAAATTTATCCAAGCAGGAGAATAAAAGAGACTTTGAAAACTTATAAAACAAACAGCTATTTAGTTAAACCTCCCATCAAAGTCACTAACATATACAAAGTTATCTGGCCAGTGCTATCAAAACAGACTTGAGACCTGCCTGTATTATCTAGACCACAGCTTAAACTACCATCTGTCTTGGCCTCCAGAGGCCATATTACCCAATGCCATGTTTCATGTCATCTAGTCAGGCTTCTCAGACATTCCTGTCTCCTCCACTCTTAAAAATGAGAACTCTCCATTCTGTAAGATAAGCTTTTTATCACTGTTTCATAACATCTCCAGGAAAATGCCTCTGCTCTTGAAATGGAAAGGCGCTGTGGTGTGTGGCCCGTGAGACCCTCCTGTACTCTCTCTAGAGACCTGCAGCTGAGCCAGCAAGGCCGCCATCCTTCCTGAGGTCTGTGTACACTGCAGGACCCCTTCTAGAACACACATGGTCCTTTGGTTTATTATCATATTTAGATGTGAAGTTGATGCCACTAGCTGTGATTATCAAATGTAACCATAAGGAAAAAATCAGAAGCCAAAGCTTCCAAAGCAAGTTTTCAGAAACCAGAATTTATGTGAAAACAGCATGCCTCAGGCTCCTATGACTTTCTCAGTAAAGAATTAGAATATCCTTGCTGTCAGCCCAAAGACATGAGTGTTAAGATTGTTGGACATCCTTTTCTTATCTGCAATATTTAAGTTACTATGCGCCATTTTCCTCACCCTGTTTTGTTTGCCATTGTTTCAAAGGTGTTAGTTTTAAAGCTTTGTATAAAGATGCTTTGGGTCGTAGGTAGACACAACTGGAGGTGTCTTAAATAGTAAATGAACTTATTGGTTTTTAGTAGAAAAAAGTAGAAAATTCCAGGTGTAGAATGGGTTTGAACAGAGGTCTGATCCAAAAGTTTTTAATATCAATAGGACTGTGCCAGGCATGTGCTTTTACCAGTACTATACTTGTAAATTTATCATTATTTCTATTGTACAGATCAGAAAAATCAAGAACCAAAATTTTGGGCTTGTGCCAGATGGCAAAATCAAGAACCATTTTCCATTTGACATCTATAAAATCAGACATCAAATAAGAAGTAGACGTAAGACTCAAGCCTAACTCTTAAAATTTGAAAACCAATGTTTCTGTTGCTCAAGTGGCATTTTATTTTTATTTATTTATTTA